TGCTTGCTTAGAATGCAAGAGGCCTTGGTTTGAACCCAGCACTGAAAAACAAAACAAAACAAAGTTTTAAGATCAACAGGCCTCCTCACACTTTTTTAAGTGCACATAAAATACTTCACTGTAATTTTAGGATAGTTGAAAAAGACACACTTTTCAGTGTAGGATGTATGCTGGCATTTCATTTTTTTTAAAAATTATTTATTTATTTTTATTTATTACATTTATTTATTGTGTGTGTGGCCAGCTCAGCCCACAAGGGGGCAGGGCTGGCTGGCATGTGGTGCTGGGGGATCGAACTGCAGTCCCTGTGCTTTGCCAAGCTTGTTTCAAGTAGGTGCTTTAGACCACTGAGCCATCTCTCCAGCCCCTGGCATTTCATATTATAGCACTTTTGTTTGTGATGTTGGTGCTTAAACCCAGGACCTCCCATTTTCTAAGCAAGAGCTTTATCACTGGGCTACATTCTTAGTCCTGTATTCTGACTGTTAAATATATCCACTGAAATCTAAAAACCACAGCAATGAGATACTTCACTATTATCCACTTAAAAAAATATGTTACAAGAGCATAAATTAGAAATCATATGGACTGAGGAGATGGCTCAGTGGAATAAGCGCTTGCCCAGCAAGCACAGGGACCTGAGTTCAATCCCTGGTTCTGCCAAGAAAAAAAAAAAAAAAGGAAAAAAAAATCATATTTCTAGGGTCAGGAATATAGCGCAGTGGTACAAGTGCCAGCCTAGCAAGTGCAAGGTCCTGAGTTTGATTCCTGGTGCCCACAGGAACATAAAACAAAAGCACTGAAAGATTTTTTTTTTAGTTTTTGAGACAGTCTCACTATGCAGTTCAGGCTGGCCTTGAACTCACTTTGTAGCCCAGTCTGGCTTTGAACTCTTAAACAATCCTGCAGAAGCCTCCTGAGTGCTGAGATTACAGTTGTGAGCCACCACAACTGACTTTTTTTTTTTTTTTTTTTTTTTTTTGCCAGCTCAGCCTACCCTGGGGTTTTTTTTTTTTTTTTTTGTGGAACCAGGGATTGAACTCAGACCCTTGTGCTTGCCAGGGAAGCACTTATTCTACTGAGCCATCTCCATGGCCCCCTGACTTAAGCTTTCAAAGGAACAAATATTTCCTGTGACTATACAGTCCTAAGATTATTTTGGATGTAATACAGGTCTAGGTGAAACTGGATAGCAGTTAGTGGGTGAAATGGCAGAAAACTGAAAGGACAGGTGGGAAAGAAGATCTGACATGATGGCATCACACCAGGCAGACTGAGGAAAGAGAACAGAAAGGCCAGGAATTTGGACATAGACTTGGAGCCAGGGATGGTGGCTCATGCCTGTGGTCCCAGCTACTCAGGAGGCTGAAGGAGGGGGATCATTTGAACCTCCCAGGAGATCAGCTTGGGAAATGCTGTAAAACCTCTCCTTAATCCAAAAACAAAGACCTAAAAGGAAAAAATCAAAACCCTTATCTTGAGCACCACTGCAAAACCTCACCTTAAAACAAGAACCAAGACCTAGAGGAAAAAAACCCCAAAAAACCCAAACCCCCTATTTGGCCATGAAATAGGTACCTGTCTTAGTCACTTTCCTCATTGCTGAGGTGCAATACCCACAATTTAAGTCAGGGAGAAGTTTATTTGGGCTCATGGTTTGTAGAGGTTTCAGTCCAAAATTGGCTGGCTCCAAGGCAGGAAGGGCATGGTTGGAAAGGCCTGCTGAGGATGGAAACTGTTTATCCACCGGAAGCAGAAACAGAGGGAGGAGCTGGGGAGGGATATACTTCCAGGTCACACCTCAGTTAACCGGCTTCTTCTGACTACCGCTACCGCACACCTCTAAGAGTAAGTCAGTGTAGTGAGACCCTGTACTAAATACATTAAAATCAACAACAACAAAAAATGAAAGTAAATCAGCCACAGTGCTGATCCAGTTAACCTCCAAGAATCTTACCTCTGAGCACAAGACTGTAGGGGTACTCTAGGTTCAAACCTCTAATAGCATCCCTTCTCCTCTTGCTGTGACAGCCTATGAGCACCCTAAAAGTGTGTATCCTGTTTTGAAAATTGCTTAGAGAGCATTACATGCTGTGGGGAAAGTTCTAGTCATAGCAGGGTGTGAACTCCATCCCCTCTTGGCCTTTGTTTAGTTTGCTCTGGGGCCAGAGGTTCTGAGCAGGAGGCAGCTGGATGGGACACTTCTGACCAGGTCCTATGACCCTGTGTTTATGAGCCACCTTTTCTGGCTTATAAACACCTCTTGTGAAGATTGGAGCTGTTCCAAAGCAGAGGAGGTACAGATATTTTTGGGCTCTAATAGAAAACATGCTTCCATGTGTACATGCTGGGAAATTTCTGAGAACAGTGAGGGAGGATCTATTGCAAAGCTCAATTAATAACTGGTTTTAGGGGCTGGGAATATAGCTCAGCAACAGAAGCGCCTGCCTGGCAAGCACAAGGTCCTGAGTTTGATTCCTGGTATTTAAAAAATAAATAAATAAATAAATAAATAAAGATTTTATTACTTTCTTTCATCTTGAGACATAAAAACGAAGCCTAAAGACTTTGTGAGAACTTTTTTTTTTTTTTTTTTCAGTACTGGGGATTGAACTCAGGGCCCTAGGCTTGCCAGGCAAACACTTATTCTACTGAGCTATCTCCCCGGGCCCCTATTTTCTTGAAATAAGAGGACAAAAGATCTCAGACAGGAAAAACAGTGAGACAGGGACACTAAGCCAGGTTCCCACAAAGAGTTTATTGAGGGAGCCAAAGCCAGTAAGAGGACAAAGGAGTCCTACTTTAACCTCTGTCCTCAAAGCTACTGGCCTCCAGCTCAATGGGAGCCTCTGGAAGTCAGGACCTGCCCTGTGTGGAGTCACAAGGAGCTTTGGAAACTCCTGCCCCTCACAGCACAGCCTGGCCAACCCCAGTGATCCAGGCATGGTAATGAGACCTTATCCCCACCCCAAGAGGGTGGTGAGGAGACCCCTCTACTCACCCTGCCCTTCCTCAAGGCCTCAGAAAGCAAGGCCAGGGCATTTGGCCCTCTGAAGGGCCAATCTAATCTTCAATGTGACGACCTGGGCAATGGGCCTAGACGACAGGTCTACTCAGAACTGAACTTAGAGGTGTCCACTCTAGGAGCCAACACCTAACATCCAAACATGATTAAAAACACTCAGGACAGTTCTCTTGCTAGCAGAGGCCACACCTCAGATAATGGCAGTCCTGCCAGACCAGGGTCAGAGATAGAAACCCAAACAGAATGGGTGTGAATGCATGAGGAAACCAGTCAGCCCATGGAGTAGATATTCCAGGGCTCATCTGGGGCCCAGAGCTTTGGCTACTGTTTTATGTCATCCAATGCCAGTGATTCCTCCACATATTCCTCAGAAAGGAAAGGGAGGAGGAGTCAGAGAACTTGGTGAGAGGTTCACCCTGTAATGGACTAAAGGTCAGGACAATCTACTGGGGTGAGGAAAAGGCTGTAGAGGGGCAGGACACCAGGGTGTGGGGACTGGAGCATTCCTCAGACTCTGGCATGTCATCCTGGAAGTACTCAGCCTGGCGGTACTGCCACAGACGCAGGTTCCCGTCCCACTGCAGGGCAGAAGGTGGCAAGTGTCAGGGGGTACTGTCCCTTATCAGGTCCAAGCCCCACATACACACTAGACCCTAACAATTTGAAGCTCACCGAACTGCTGACAATCTTCTCTTCATAGGGGTGCCAACTGACATCACGTACACAGGCCTTGTGGTTGGTCAGCTTCTTCACAATGTGACCACTGAGGAGGTCATACACTGTCCAGGAAAGGCCAAAGTGGAGGGGCTTCCATAGCACCTCCAAACTACCCCTCAGCTGCCCAAGTGGCACTACTGACCTGCCTCTCAGGCAACTCCCCACTTTCCCAGGGGGGCAAAACTCAACCCCAAGAATGGTATAATTTGTGTTTTCTTCCCAATTCCTTTTCCTACCTTGGGTTGAGGATGTGGTGTAGTGCAGTGTGGGTATCCCTGGCCCTTCATTAAAATTCAGAGGCCTACAGTTAAGAAAATGCAGTGGCTTTAAAGCTTTTAGCAAGAT